CCCCCACGTCCTGGTCCTACACCAGCACCCCCCACGTCTTGGTCCTGCACCAGCACCCCACACGGCCTGACCCTGCACCAGCATCCCACCACACACAGAATGAGGAGGAGCTAGGCCTACCCACGCTGTGGCATAGAGACAGGTCTGTAGACACTGAAACTGCCTGTGAACTGGATCTGGCATAGTCTGGGAGCCACGAGAGATAAACACACCAACTTCAGTCAAAATGCAGACTATGAAAGGACCTCGTAAAGAGGCTCCAACCTATCCCAGCTGCAATCTGCAGACAGGCCTGCTAGCCCCGGGACCCAGCAAGAGACATCCCCAGTACACACCTAGAGTGCCTGAGGGACCCCTGTACTTGGCTCCAGCTCCCCTAGTCTCGGTCCACAGCAATACAACTGGCATAGGACACTCCTGTCTCCACCTCAGAAGATCCTGAAATGGCTCCAGCCTCCAAATGCCATCAGGAAACAGTCCTGCCCCCCAAGCCATCTAGCGGGAGACAAGGCCACCCGTGTCTCCACAGCCAGGTCTACAGACCTCAATCTTGGCTGTAGGACCTGAAACAGCCCTGGGACTCAGTTCCAACCCCTCTCAGCCATTGTCCAGGGCCAGTCCCGCCAACCCAAGAACCCATCAGTGACCAAACAGGAGCCCTCCCGAGGACCCAGAGGGAGCCACGCCCATCTGTGTATATGGTAACGGTCGTGCTGTCTGAGGACCCAACTGTGGACACTGAAGCAGACCCTTATCCCAACATCCTACAGAAGAATGTACTGGCACTGGAGGCAGTACCGCCCAACAAGGGATGGACCAGACAGGATCCATGCCAACCCCAGCCGCTGGAAACAAGACCAACCACGGATTCCACCACAGACCTAGCAACAGCTTTGAAACTGGCTCCAACCAAGCATCGGCCAAGGGAAAAGACAGGAAAAGGTCTTTATCTGCCAAAAACCAGTGTAAAGACCAGAAAAGATGGTTCTTCCTTCAAATGCGGACACCACCGAAATGCTACTCGGATCATGCAAAACAGGCAAAAGGACAACACCAAAGAAAACCAATAAAGGTCCAGGAATTTACCCCAAAGAAATGAATAGAGATCTACAATTTGTTATCATCTTACACTTAATGAAATTTAAGAGAACAAAGTAAGGCAACTAAATGAAATAATACGTGAACAAAATTAGAAATTTAATAAACAGAAACCACACAAAAAAAAAAAATCCTAGGGCTGAAAAATACACTGAAAAATTCAGCACAGGTCTTTAAGTAACTGCCTTGACCACAGAGAAGAAAGAATCTGAGAGTGAAGGGAGATTACCTGAAATTAGCCGGTTATAGGAACAAAAAAGTGAAGAGAGCCTATGTGAATTACAGGACACCACCGAACAAGTGAATATCCCATCACAGGGGTTCCAGAAGAGAAAAAGCAGGAGAAAACTTATTTAAAGAAATAAGAACTAAAAAGTCCCAAATCAGGAGACAGATATGGATACCCAGCAACAGTAAAATCCGAGAACCCTAAACATGATCAACCCAAACATTCCTCTAGATAGGCAATAATCAAAATGTTGAGAGTCAAAGATAAAGAGGGAACTTTGAAAACTGAAGGAAAAAAAGATTCCTTGTATACAAGGGGCACCCTCAGGCTACCTGCAGACTCTGGAGAAACCCTGCAGGCCAGGTGAGACTGACAGGATACATTAAAGAATGAAAAGACAAGAACCACACTAGGAATAACTGCAAAACTGTCCTTCAGAAAATAAGAAAAGGTAAAAACATTCCAGACAAAAGTTGAAGGAGTTCTTCACCCTAGACCTGCCCCACAAGTAATGCTAAAGGGAGTTGGGCAAGCTGAAGGGACACTCAGTAACATGAAAACATAGACAAGCACACAATTTACTGGTGAAGGTAGACAGCCAAATTCAGGATTCCCTACCATGTAACCATTCCTCTGGTATAAAAGCTAAAGG